CCAAAACAAAACAAAAAAACAGTTCAGAGAAATCACTGCAAGCCCAAAGTTAACATGACATTCATGCCTATGATATCTGCATGTATACTTATAACCACAACTGTATGCTTGAGGCTACCACCCTTAGTTTACCTCACCTTATTCTCTCTACAGCAAAATAAGAACTAGCCTACAGCTTCATAAAGAAAACCTGTATGTCCAACCAATAAATTTTCAAGTTTTAAAACAGCTGCTGAAGAGGTAAAAAAAAAAAAAAAAAGTGAAAAGATTTGGTTTCTTAAGATCAAGCATCTGGCACAGTATAATTCAACAATAACAGTACAGAGCATCACCAATAATGGAAGCTTAAGACTTGCTACAAAAGTATGACTGCCAATTGATTTTACTGCCAATTGAAGTGGTAATCGAGCTTTTTCATGTGTGGGCTTCACTCTGGTGACCTCTCTTGATTCAGTTAATCCTGTCCTTCCACTTGCACAATCAGCACGATAATCATTGAAAACATTTTTTCAGAGTATGGATGGCGTCCCAGAGTGTTAAAGTAAGGCTGTTGAATCAGTTTTCAGTGAGATATAACAAGGATCATTATTACAGTAAAAACAGGACACTGGCTATGGTGAGGTAAAGCAGTAATATAATTCCAGCTGTGCAACTTTAATGCTGGTATCTACTCACTGTAATGAGACAACAGGCTTAACCATTCCTAACCTATTGTGTCGCTTTCGTAGAATTAAAATTTAATAATGCCAATGATACCTGAACCAGATGGAAACAGAAACCTATCTCCTCATTAGGAAAAGCAAAACTTACTTAAATAGAAGTAGCACACTGACATGTTGGCAGCTCAATAGCTTACGTTTGTCTTTCTACATCAACACACTGGATTTGAAAGGAAACCATCACAGTGAGGTTAGTCTTTACTTTTGGTACTTTCTGTCAGTCATCTGGCAAGACTGAAAACTACTAAGCCAAATTTTTGGTGCCATTTATTTGGTTGAATAATGATTCTATTCTTCTCCTTGGGAAAAACCCCTAACTTGCTCATTGCTAATCACAATATTGACAACATTAACAATACCAAAAAGGAAGTTAAATTGTATGGAAATAAAAGTTTGTGAACTTTTGTTTCCTTATTTTGTTTAAAAATCAAAATTATTTCTTCCTCTGGTAGCCCTGCAGTAGCCTAATGTTAGCCATCTGATAACCCCTAAGCTATACAGAAAAGTTGAAGGACACAATGGACTTAGTAGGGGTGACCAGCACATGTCAAGAGGAAGAAGTTCCTCCAATCGACATTCTTTTTCCTGGATGCCCCACGGATACTTGCAGGCACTCAGAACTCTTAAGAAAGAGGGGAAACAAAACAAGGTCGCATCCTGTGCAGGTCTCGGGAAATTAACTGTAACCCTGATCCATTGTTGCCACAACTCAATAATATTCAGACTGTGTGCATGTATCACAGACCGTTATAAACAATGTACACAAGAGCAGGTTATAAAAATCAATTATATGCTCCCTTTCCATGTCACCATGGCAAAAACGTCCAAATAAACAAGGCCAACAGAGAAGAATTCAAAATACTCTGTATGATATTGATAAAGATACTGAAGAAGTACTAAAATGGAGGCACACCAAACAATTCATGACCCATTCTGCATTTCTCTGGTATTGAAAGCTGAGCTTAGTGGGTAGAGAAGTTCCCTGGAAACAGTAAAAGAGAAACCACATCTACTCTCTGCATTTTTTTTAATTTTAGATTTTTTTTAAAAAGTGTGAAAAACAGGAATTAATATAATGAAGCTGCCACCATGTCAAACATCACCTGAATCCCACATGCAGTGACTCAAAATATATATTGAAATATACGTATTTTTTCTTATGCTGTTAGACTTCTTCAATTAACCCTTATTTCAACAACTTATCAAGAAAGTCCTTGATGTTTTTATTTGCATTTTTTGGGAAGAAGAGATTGCCAATAAAGCATTCATGTGTTCATGGACAAGCTACTGACCTACCACTAATTTCTACAGTCTGTCCTTCCAAGTTCCATTTTAAATGTCACATCACTGGCATCACTATCTGTTCAGCCCAGTGTATGTTGTTACCACGCACCTCAAAGTCACTGCTCCCTTGGCTCTATACCAGCAGGTTCAGGAGTCAATTAAGCCAGATGTTTTAGATGTTGCAGTGCTCAGAGTTTGGTGTTTTGTTAAGAAACCAGCTGCAGCACAGCATGTTGGCACTTTTATAAACTTATTGGACCACACCAATAAGTTTATAAATAGACAGAATTAACATTGACTGATTGGTTTTAAGTCACTGTGAAATGTTCCTGTCGTGTGATGCATTTGTGGCCATGACATGCAAAATAAACAGCGCGATTAATGTGCTGAGATAAATGTTGACATTTATTTTGTAACTGCGCTGCATAAATTCCTGAAAACTACTGGTAAGCAAAACATGCCATGGCATGTTTTGAACACTATTACAAATGTTTTGTTGACAGTAACTTAACCTTTGACCTGTATGTTGCTGGGTAAAACTGATGAGTAGAGCGGAGGTAGCTGCACTTAGCTTAGGTGGTAGAGTAGGTGGTCTACCAATCTAAAGGTCCGTGCACTGCTGGTAAAAAGATACCAAAGATACCAAAGGTACTGACCCCCGCTATGTAGGCATCTGTATGAATGTGTGTAACACTTATAGTAAGAAAGTGTTTTGAATGCTCAACTGAGCAGAAAGGCACTATATATATACTATATAAGTACCAGTCCACCTACCAAAATACACAATTTACTAACATTTGGGCAACTTTAAACTGAACTGCTATAAAGCGTCTATAAGGTAAACACCAATCCACTGTGGTTGGGTTTTGCTGTCAAATTATTGTTTTAACTTAAGTAATGAATGACACATCCACGTGTAATGATGTGTAACGAGTTCACCTGCCGTCTGTTATCTGTGTACGTGGAACCCTTTGCCAACACATCAAGGTTAAAAAAAAAAGAAAGAAGTAGTAGTTTGAGTTACTCATATGGGGACACCACAGTTTCTCCCCGTGTTTATTTACGGCACTTAATAAAACATGAAGGGCAGCCGGCCAGGTTATCACCCTCTGCTGCAATGCGTTTGAAATGAAAACGGCACCAGATCACATCTTAGCTAGCGTTTTTGTTTTGTCAGCTGATTTCAAGACCGATCAGAGTTTCAACTCACCCGACTAAACCAAACGCTGAGCTGCGTCTCTGACAGCAGAGCGAAGTAAAAGCGCTGGGAGCTGGGCTGGATGTAGAAGGGCTCCTCTTCGCTCCTCAGGGGACAAAGCAGCCTCCGTGGCCAGCCGGTTAGAAAATACATGACGGCAAACTCACTCCGCCTCGGCGCAGCAGTGCCAAATAGTTTGTGGCCCCCTGTTCCTCCTTAAGTGCAATATTTAATCCAGGTGACTCATGAGCGGCTCCGGAAATACAAAAAAAATTACAAGGTATATACAAGCCAGTGTTGACACCGGTTAAGGGTACCATACAGCTTCCAAACAGCCGACTGAGGCTACACAGCTAGCCCGGGCTAGCGCTGGCTTTTCAACTTAAAGCTAATGAGCAGTCCAAGTGTAACCGAAAACAACAGCACGCAAACCCGCAGCGTCACCATACGGCCCCAAACGGCGGGTTCAGACTCAAGAGCGGACCGATTAACTCCCACACCCGGTGCAGTGTGGGTTCTAGCGAAGTGTGGATCTGCGGTGTTTAGTAACAGCAAAGCGTCCAGTTTTCACTCCTCTGTGCCTCACCGTCGCCATTTTTCCAAGAGTCTGTCTGACTTAAAGCTGATTGGCTGCAACAGTGGAAGTTTGCGTCCTGTTGACATCTGACGTCACCGCTCCGTTGTGCGAATCCAGGTGGCGGTGGCGGCAGCTTGGCTCGATGCTGCCATCTGGTGGTGAAAATGGAAATGCCTGGGAAAAACAATTTCATTGCGGTGTGGCTTAACTGCAGTCTATCTGACATCTTTTAATTGTAATACATTCTTTTTCTTCTACTTTTAATTCTTCTTTTCATTATTATTATTTGCAACCACTGCACTGAATCTTGCAACCATAATCCACATTAGATTTGCTATGTTCTTTTTAAATCAACATATATCAACACAAGCTTTTAACCTAATTATTTAGAGCCTGTGCATCAGTAGTATCTCTTATATCCAGCTCATAAATCCATCCATGAAATGGCGCATTATTTAGCAGAATAAAAGTATTATTAAAATAACATGGAATTTTAATCATGTTAGTGTATCATTCTTCCCATAATAATCAAATCAAATAAAGTTTGTGGAACAGGACTATGCTGAAGCACTCAGTGAGTGTTGATGGACAAGTAGAGAGAGATATATGACCTGCTGTGATGTATGGTTTGGAGATCACAGTGTTAACATAAAGACGAGAGACTGATCTGGAGGTGGCAGAGCTGAAGATAATGAAATTACCACTGGGAGTCCCCCAGGATTAGAAATGAGTATATCAGAGAAACAGCTCAAACAGCTGGTTTGAAAAATAAGTCAATAGAGGCAAGGCTGAGATGGTTTGGAGCGAAGGATAGCAGATATACGGGACAGAGGATGGAGCTGCCAGGCAGGAGGAAAACAGGAAGACCACAGAGAAGATTCATTCATGTAGTAAAGGAGGATGTGCAGTTGTTGTGACAGAGGAGGATTTTAGAGAGATGCAGGGAAGCAGCTAGATGTTGTCAGTGGCTAAAGAAGGAAAGAAGCAGTGTTTGTGAGTTTTCCTCCCCATAAACATTTACTGTTTGTATATATCACTAACGTCACAGATATAAGACATGTATTTATTTATTTTTTAATTATTTTTTTTTTACTCTATTTATTTATTTACATTTTATTAGACTAGGTGCTTTAAAAGTAAATAAATACAACTAACGCGTCAGTAGGTGGCGGTAAAACTCTTATCAGTTTCGCAAACCGCCAAAAAAGTGAAGAGAAGAAGAAGCAAAGCAAGAAGCATGGCTGCAGATATGAGATTACCGACTATTAGAAAAACCGTGTCGCTATCAGCGTCTGCTTTTGACCGAAAAGATCTGGTCGTACCGGGGGATGTTATTACTTCAGACACTGGGTTCATGAGGTAGGTGTTGGTTTTATTTGAGTTATTATAGAAAATCAACCAAACAGGAGTGTGCTGCCGTTCGGGTCTGTTTCGGGCATCTGGCTTGTAAAGGCAAATAAATAAATAAAAGCTCCAGATGACAGCCAGTGCCATACTGAATTAGCAGGTGAGCATAAAGTCAGCCTGTCTCATTTGCAACCTTCTACACTGATACACAGTAAGTAAGGATAAGGACTCTAATCGGATAAACTGCAGCATTGTGTTGTGTGACCTCTGAATACTGCACTTTACCCTTGTTAATTTTTCTTTCTTTTTTTTGGCTGTTTTCTTCAGAAATAATGTTTGATACCGTCTGTCCGCAGAGGTCATGGCACCTACGTTGATGACGACAAGTTGACAGCTTCAGTCGCAGGAGAGGTGCAGAGGGTGGACAAACTCATCTGTGTCAGGCCACTTAAGACCAGGTGAGTGATTGAACTCTTAAACGGTCAAAGACTTAGATAGGCCTGTTATCTATATACTAATTCTTACATTGTGAAGTGTGCTTTGATTGCAGGTTTAATGGTGAGGTTGGAGATGTTGTGGTTGGCAGAATTACAGAGGTAATGCCTAGTATTTGTTCTCATATACAACCGCTCTAGTTATAATAAAAGACAGTGATTGCAGCAACTTGTTTTCATTTTGGTTTTCAAGGTTGTTGTTTTTTTTTTTAAATTTTCTTCTTCTTTAAAATGTATAGGTGCAGCAGAAAAGATGGAAGGTGGAGACAAACTCCCGCCTGGACTCTGTCCTCTTGCTGTCTTCTGTAAACCTGCCAGGAGGAGAGCTGGTGAGATGGTAGAAAATGTAATTCACTGGGAGAAGACAGCTTTGGCTGATGTATTAAAATTAATTAAAATTAATATTTGATCATCTTTTCTCTTTCTTTCTTTTTTTCCCTTTTTTTTTTTTTTTTTTAGAGGAGAAGATCAGCAGAAGATGAGCTGACCATGAGAGAATATCTTCAAGAAGGAGATCTCATCAGTGTAAGTCAGACTTCTCTATTATAATCTCTCACTGGCTTTCCAGTGATTTTATTCCCGGTTATATAATCTGTGTTGAACCTTGTGGTTGTGGTTTCAGGCAGAGGTGCAGTCTGTCTTCTTGGATGGAGCTCTGTCACTTCACACCCGTAGTTTAAAGTATGGAAAAGTAAGTTATTCCAGTGTACACAAAGACATGTGAAAAGGTAAAGGGCAAGTTTATTTATATAGCACATTACAAATGACCAGAGTTGATCAAAGTACTTCACAAGTAAGATTTCAGGGGTTTTTAAAGGCCAGAAAGTAGAAACTGAGCAAAGAAAAGTAAAAACAGTTTTGGCAGATCTATTATGAAATGGAAATGCATTCAAGAGACTCAGGGCAACAACTGAAAAGCTCAATGACCCCCCTTTTTTTTTCTTTTTCTTTTTTTTTTTTTTTAAAATCAACCGATTAGCAGACCTCAGAGCTCTGACAGGAGTGTGGACATTAATAAGACCAGACAAATACAGGGGGTCAGGCCAACCTATTCAGTATCCTAAAAACAATCAATAAAATATTCAAATTAACCATAAAACTGACAGGATGCCAGTGAAGTCAAGCTAAAACTGGAGTAACTGTGTTAGTTCAATAATAAGAGTAACAATCGTTATTTTTATTTTCATTTTCATTTAAACTAACACCCTGTCTCTACTTCCTCTGACTATCAGTTGGGTCAAGGAGTACTGGTCCAGCTTTCCCCTTCTCTGATCAAGAGGCAGAAAACACATTTCCACAACCTGCCGTGTGGCGCATCCATTATCCTGGGGAATAATGGCTTTGTGTGGTTGTATCCAACACCGGGCCAACAGGAGGAGGAAGCTGGGGGTTTCTACACCAGCCTTGAGGTAGGATGCCACAAAAAGCTGTATTCCATATTTTTATTACTGATCAATGGGCATACGAATTTGGAAAACAATTTCTTGTTGTTTTAGGAAATGTAGGAATTTCAAATTGATACAATCGGTGCATTTACTAAAAACGTTGGTTGACTTCAAATCTCAGTGGAATTGACCTCAAGGTCAAAGGTCAAAATAAGTTCTCTGAAAGGTGTGTCTACTCAGAAGCTGAGGGGTAGCACTGGTGGTTGCCCACATTTTTCCTTCTGCTTTCCCAAGTTTGGAAAAGTAATGGATACTAATTTAATGTTTGAGTATTGATTTAAGTACATTTACATCAAGATTGAAAGAACTATGTGTCAGTTTTCTCTGCACACAAATCGCAGTAGTAGTTTTCAGCTTGGCTGCTAACAGTTCACTGAGAGTATTGAGCTGTTCTTGTCAAGCAAAAATGTATCAAAATATAGTTAATATATTGTATATTATATATCAAAAGGTAGTTAATTTAAAATTTTAATTTAAAATAAAGGTGTGCACTGAAAAACTAAGTAGAGAAAACATGTAGAGAACCTAAGCATTCAGCACAAGGAACAGTTTTATTTTTTTCTAAATGGAAAGGCCTGGTTGTAGTTTGCAAAATCAGTGAGAGTTCTGGAACAAATTTTTATGGACTGATGAACTAAAACTTGGAAAGAGGCTCGGGCATGGATGGCTGTCAATGGAACGGGAACGCTGCCATCCATTAATGATTTTTACTGCTCACACAAGTAGTGTTTTGTGTGCTTAGCTTCACCCAAATGCACAAACTTTCATCATTCAACCTAAAGGCAAGACCAGAGCAACCAAATATTCCATCAAGTTGGGGCGTCCTTGACTGTTTGAGTCGGTCACCTTCGTGTGCCACACTCAGCTTGGTAAAAAAGCACCTTCCGCAACATGGGCTTCAGCCCATGTTGCGGAAGGTGCAACATGGGCTTATATCTCATTAATATAAGATTTTAAAAGGTGGTGGGTGCCCCTCTGTTTCGTGCTGTCCTCTTCAAATGCTCATGGTGACCTGGATAAAATCGTCATACTGAAATGAGGCGTTGCCAGTTTGGGTTGTGTCCCGCCTTCGAAATTGATCGGTGAGGGCACGGAGCCTCACAGCGCAGCTCACAAACTCATCAAAGGGGATTCTTCAGGCAGCTTCAGTCTGAAGGAGTATTAGAAAAACGTTTAAAAAATGTTTGCAAGTTGAAGACTTGCAAGCGTGTGTAATGATGCTCCAGATGCTTGTGGTTTACACCGTACACACAGAGCTTATTTGTTTGTGCATCTCTCATCTCTGGTTCCTCAGCCTGTCAGCCTGTCGGATCGAGAGGTCATTTCACGGTTGAGAAACTGCCTGCTGGCTTTGACTGCGCACAAAGTCCTCCTGTATGACACCAGTGTTCTCTACTGCTACGAATCATCACTTCAGCACCAGGTAGAAATCACTCCAGTAAAAAACATCCTTTGAAACTAAATTATTGACATTACTACAATTTGCAGTCATTTTTTTGTTATAATGACACCTGTTGTTTCATGTTTGTAAACAATATGATTACAAAACTATTGCAACACCAGAAAACCCCCAACTCTTTTCTGTGTCATATTGTGCCATCTAGTGGTCATACTGTAATTGTCCAGCTCCTGGGCACCACTAGTGGAAAAAATACTGTGCAGTTCTCAACTTTGACTCGGCTGTTTTTGCAGTGTGGAACAGTCACGGTTGATTTCATTGCCCTTTGGGGTGGGGAACAAATGACTTAATTGCCCATGCGTCTCGCAAACACTACTCTTGCAATGATATCAGCATATCCACATAGCTTATCCACTATGTGGCACATTTTTCTTCTGTATTATATTTACAATCGAGCCAACCCGTATAAAGTGTTACTGTGCACTCGTGCTCAAGCTGCAACTCAACAAAAACACTTTCTGTTACCATAAACACAGACTGAAAACATGTACATCCATGGGTGTATGTGGTTATGCTTTTGATTTATGTTGTCTCTGTAGGTGAAGGACATCTTAAAACCAGAGGTGATGGAGGAGATTGTAATGTTGACGCAACAGAAGCTCTTGGAACAGGAGGGTTAAAGAGCCCAAAGCCTTGTCACAAGTCAAAATCACATCAGGCCAGCTGTGGACCCGACCACTGATCTGAAAGCTGAATTAGCTTTATTTTCTTAGAGATATAATTAAATTGTCAAAGTCCAACGTATTTTATTAAAGGAAACCAGTATTATTGTTGTGGTTTTTTAATAGCAAACACAAGTGAAGTGTAACTCGTTCAATGTGTGCAGCATTTCAGCTATTCTAAAGTTTTACAAAATAATAGTCAATCTTTTTTTTTTTCCATGTGATATATATAAGCTGTATACAATAAATTTTGTGATTTCTATAAATTTTCACTGCATCTCAGTGTGGTCTGTCTGTGAACAAGGAAAAAACGTATCTGGGAATCTTTATTGTTTGGGCTCTAGTTTTTACAGGATTTTTTTTTTTTAATTTAAATATCAATATTGGGCAATTTTAAAAATCTGACAAAGTAGCCAATATTTTTTTGTCTTCTTTCAGATAGATGAAAAAGATTTCTTGAAATTTTCTGTGTAGTTACTAATGACCCTTTACTAAGATTATGTGACGGTGCTGTTTAAAATGATCTTTTTGTGCCGTTGCAACAAGTTACACATTATTTATTTACACTCTTTAAAACTTTTGTTGGATCAGCTGGTTGTTCTGTTTGTGGTGTGCCAAACACATGTTGGCAACAGGAAAGTTTCAGAGTTGTGGAGCTCTTTCAGTCATGTTAATTGTTAATTTATTAGACATTAATATGATATATTGGTTAAGCTCATAAGAACAAACTTCTCACATCAGCAGTAAAGGTTATGTATAATCACCATTTTAGTGGTTTTAATGGTGTCTGGAAATTGGTAGTTTTTAGTTATTATTTTAGGTTTGAGGATATTCTTGCATAATCCATCCACTTTAAACGGCTCAATAATGGTGAAATGGGACTTTTCTTGAATTGATTGCTCCATAACCTCCTTTTCTTCTGTTTTACACATCCTTTGGTGGATTTGCTAATGTGCTAGGGGTCACTAACTTGTAAAAATGTTTGAGCAGCTGGAACTCTGTGATAAAATTCAGAAGTCATAGTTGACTCAGTACTTGCCCAAAGTGCCCAGTCACTGAGACAGTGGAAAAGCTAAAGCAAACCCAAACCATAATGTTTCCACCACCATGATTCACAGTATGAGTATGGCTTTGGTATTTGCCACTTCACTGGTACTGTAAACTGTAGTTTTATTCTATTTTTCCTCCTGGACAATAAATGCTTTCCCTTGACACCTCTCATGTAGGTTAGATTTGTATAATATCTTTCTTGCGGTTGCAAGAATCCCTTGCTAACCCTGTGAAGAAAGTTTGTGACTTTTCTCTGCTTTTAGTGTCTTTAACTTCCCTTAAAGTGGATAATTACAACACACCACACCAACACACCACGCAAGCAAAGTGACCCAGACAACAAAGTAAA